TTCGTGGAGAATTTTCCTAAAAAAAAATGTTTTATGATTTATGTATGTCCTGAAACGTAGAATATAGTTACTTAGTAAACAGCCAACTTTTGTGTGATTGCAGTTTTGTAAAAACACAAGCAAAAATTATTAATTTTATTACCAAACAAAGAAAAACAAAAACAATAATAAAATAATCTACAATAGACCCAATTAAATACATAAGCATAAAGCATAAATCAAAAGCAAATGTTTTCAAATAACCAACGTGTAGTGTTTCTTTTTAGTAAGCAGCAGATTGTCACGCAATACAGACGCACTCAAAAGCAGAATACATACACTATAAGCAGATGATGCAGCAAATCATTCTCAACATACATACATAGATCTCAGTATGCATGTGCGTATGAATGTAAAAAAAAACAACAGCATGCAACTCTTCTATTAAAAATAATAACAAAAAAATATTTCTGCGCTCTCGCCGCCATTTGAATTGCTATCCAGGACACTACATAAATACAAAACTGAAGAATTGTTTAAAATACCCATAAAGAAGGACATAAAATCTACAGCCTATTTCAAAAACAAAATAGGAATGTTTTTAAATAAAAACGCATACGAAAAAAATTGAAAGCACTTGCAAATCACACGAAATAATCATGTTTTCTTTTTTCTTGCCGTATATAAAATATTGTAGGTACTAATATGTACCGTATGTATGTATGCATGTGTAAGCAAAACTCAAAACTTGAACCACAACAAAGTTAGTATCTATTCCGGAATGTAGAAAAAAGAACTAGTACATTTAGTTTATTTAATTTTTCCAGTTATCCGCTAAACAAACAAATATGCACGAGAACATGCAGATAAGTACATGAATGTATGAACTCTATATGTATGTATGTATGAAAAAGGGCAAAGAAATTTTATGCAAAAGAAAAGTTAATTTAGAAACAAATTTTATGTTATTAACTTCTCTAAGTAAATTATGTGCGAGTATCGAGCGATAAAATAGTGGTATTATAATTATAATTGTATCTGAATCTAAATAGCGTAATGGTATCTTTATTTAATTCATTAAATATACAAAGAGATGGAAATTGCGATAAGTGTTTTTATTTTATGTTATTAGAACTCAGCGATGTAAGTACATAAAAAAAATAAATAAAAAATAAAATTTTGTTAGCAGATGAGGAATTAAACTGAAGTTTAATAAATCAGAAAAAAATGCTGGTTTTAATTTTGGTCTTCGTGTAGTTGTAGAGAAAACATGCATACATGCATCCGTTTTGTAATCACCTCGGATTGATCAAGCGAACCACAGTCTCAAAAGTCGAGATCTGTGAATAATGTTTGTCCCCGATTTTTTACGTTCACTATATCCTTGTAAGAGCCGCGTGGCTGCAACAAACCTTAGCTGTGCCCAAGACAGTCGGGTCTACCAGTCATTATTTGGGAAGATTGTAAGCTGTTATAACAACGAAGCCCAGTTGATTATTTTTACATAATCAAATAATTGATGCCGACAATTTAAATACAAATTTTTTGCGTTTTAAGCTTAGGACGTGTGCGTGTATTTAATAACTCCGTCAAATTTCGTACCTAAAATATTTGATTGAATATCGTTACAATAATTAATTATAAAGTGTAGATGTCTTTCATAATATATATGTGTATGTATGTATGTAGCTACATTAATAGAGTTAACGTTAAAGATATCTAATACATTATCAAGAATTAAAGATTCAAATCTTTAGAAACACATCATTTTATAAAATTGTATGGTTATATGACAACTTGGAGACATACATTATACATATTGTTTATAAATATGAACAAAATAACGTTAACGAACGTACGGAAGCTCCTATGAAAGAATTTCCAATTCTCTTAGAATGTAGCAAATGTAGCAAATATGTATGTAAATTTGTGTACTCCAATTAGCAAGCGCCCGCCGATTCAGCAGCACTTGTACTGTGTATCTCTTCGTGTCGTTGTAATAGACTCAGGCACTGATGCAAACATTGTGTACTAGCTGTCGAAATGGCTTTGAGCAAAAGCAAGTCCGGATCTGTCGGTGAAAATGTTTCACATTCGATATTTTCAATTGTACGCGCTAACGTTGCATTACTGTAATGATTCAAATTTATAGACATGCAACATTGATATAATGGCTAAAATATAACTTTTCATTTTCATTCCACTCACCATTGTTCGGTTAGGTAGAGTGCTTGTCTCGCCGAAACCATCGCATCTGAGGCGGCGAGCAACTCTCGTGGCGGCAGTGGTGATGAATTGCTAATGTCCATTGCTTTTGTATGACTTTCTACAACTGCACGCAAACCATCCACCCATTCTTGGCGTGAACGTGCATCGGCAGCACGCAATTTAAGCGTATCGCCAGAGGCACAACCTATGGAAAATGTGCGTGAATCTTCGTCACTCGGACAGACTACAGCACCTGCCAGCTGTACTTGACCTCGCGGCGCACTAGCCAAAACCTGTGCCGATGGCGTTGCTTCATCGCCAGACGAGGACGAGTCACACAAGAAGTAGCTAAGTGTGCCGGTCTGCGCGTCAACCGTGAACCAACGGTACTGCCAGCCTGTGAATTAGTACATACTTAATGGAATATTTGTAATGCCCCTAATTGTAAAGTTCTATACACACCTTTCATGACATTGGTATATTTGAAAAGCAGTCCATGTAGTGGATGACGTAAGGTTTGATTTAGCACTCGGTTGAGATTTGTATTATCCATGTTGGGATGTCACCGATTCCGTTTGTTGATTTATCTATGGCTGTAACCACTTCTCCAATGGCAACTGTTGAAACACTTCCGGGACCTTCCGTTTGTATTTGTTGTTTATGTTTCGATTTTCTTTTACGATGCTGTAACGTTAATTTGAGTTTACGAAGAATTTTTGCAAATTTTGGAGGAAAACAAAATAAATGAAAATTTTAGAAGCAAAACGCAAACGCACCGAAAAAGGCAGCTGCCAGAATTATTAGTTGTCAATTTCACAAGAATGCATCTTGTGCAACACAGATATGTTATGTGAAATGTAAATTTATCTTGCTACAGCTGTGCACAGCATTCCGACAAAATGCAGCTGAAATTTTGTTAATTCCATTATAGGGTATCAGTAAAAGAATTTAGTAATATGAAAGCTTTTACTCTAATAATTAAAACTAATTTTCCGCTATGTTATAAACAAAAAAACCTGTATGATATTCGTGCATAATTTTGCGGCGCGAGCGAACGAACGAACGAAATAGTGAACGAGTTTTTGTTCGTTCGGCGGGCACGTTCAGTGTTGCCGGTTTGCAAATTGTACCTAAATTTGTGGTTTCACTTATTAACATAAGGCTTTGGTAGGTTGGTTGGTTGGTTGTGATTTTCGAGGAGTTTTAGTAAGCAAATCACATAATTTATCATTTTATAAAACTTCAAGTGTCTCTGTTTTCGGGAATGATGTGAAAAGGAAAAGAGAAATGGGACACGCCAAAATTATTATTGAACCGAAGTTGAATGATGCACTGATAAGACTGTCCTCTAATCCTTACAGTTTGTTTAGGTTAGAAGAAAATAATTAGATAATTATTACGCAAATACCAAATTTTACATTTCGCTAAAGCGAGTGAGTGGGAAGGAAGAGTATTTGTATTATATTTCCCTCTTATCCCTAAAGAAATGAATAGTTGACAGCTTTTAATTCGTGTAGCACTAATTTTCAAAGCTCGACTTTGAATTCGCGCTTATTTCTTCATTTATGCAGCATGCAGCATGCAGACAAATTAGGGATAAGTAAATTTGATTTAATTTTTTTATAATAAAATTGTATACCTACTTATAGGCTGAATTTCTTTATTCATTCTGAACGGTTGGAATAATCTTTTTTGTTTACTTATTCTTTAGAACGTTCCTGATGATATGTTAACGTATATTTCAAACACATCCTGTTTATTCTGGCTGTGAAATGAGATTATCTCATAAGCAAGACACATTTAGATAGGCTGAGAGCAACTTTGTACCAAATGTGTTAAAAAAATAGTTTAAGTGGCAACACTGGACCCGGTCCAAATCTCTACAAAACAGGGTTGCAAACGTTGCGGATTTTGCATTACAAAATAAGTTAAGTTGCATCATGATTCATTAGGCTTTCTGCTCATTGGTCGTCCAATCATAGTTGAGTCATAGTTATCGTCATGAAGCAACGATTACATGACGATTACACTTCTGCACACTTGGTCGTGATATTTCAATTCATTTGGCGTCTAAAAATTCACTTGGAGCAGGTATTTTCTGTTTTTTTGGTTGATATTTTCGCGAAATATTTACAAAAACCTGCAATTTTTTAAATGTAGACTGTGCTGCAACATTTCTGGACGTAATTTTCCAGTAATATCTCTTCTTTTCTTTTCCTGGAATGTGTTTTGTGTATGCACACAGAGACTTAATACAATTTCGTCATATTTTATAGTTAAAACGCTCATATTTATTAAATTTTAATGCAATTATCCACTTTTCAATAATTTCCACAGATTTTATGCAAAAAAATACTAATTTTTATACAATTTTAATGCAAATATTAACTTTTTCACTAATTTTCCCCCATAAAATGTAAACAAACAATGCGTGCACAACGATTAGCAAACGACAGTGCCGTACTTATCCGTTTCTGCATCTTCTACGATTTGCCGATAACTAGCCGATAACGACAAGTGTGCAGATCTCCTTTGAAATGCATGTGCTCGGCTCAAAATTTCAGGGCGAGACGATAACGCAACTATGATTGGACGACAAGTGTGCAGATAGCCTTATTAATACATAAATATATCATGAAGCTGCATGTGCAATCAGTTCTTTTATATTTTAATATTTTTATTAAGCATAATTAGATAGTTTCCTTAAAAAATTAGGATTGCTCATTGCACAAAAAAATTTGTAATATTTTTGTTCGCTGTTGTTTTATTCGTATTTTCGTTGTCATCGACAACAGTGGAGAGTTTGGAGAGAATTGAAGAGAAAAAATTTGTTTCATTTCGTTCTCGCGTTGGGCAGCAAAATCCTCCTGCAAAATTTTTAATTTTCAATAAGAAATACCTAAAATTTAGACAAAATACAATCAAAAAGTGAATAATCAATGTGTGCGCTAGTGAAATATTATAAAAAGTGTTCAAATTTATGGCGAAATAGTGGTTTTCCGGCAATACGAAATTTCTCAAAAAATCAATGACAGCAAAAAAGCAGCGGAGCACCAACATCAGCAAGACCAGGAGGAGCAAAAGAATAGCGGGAGGAAACAGAAATCGTCGAAGTAATGGGAGGATGAAGAAGAAGCAACGAACAGGCAAGTAGTTAAGCAGCAACCAGCGAAATCAGACAGTGAACCAGTCCGCCAGCGGCAACCAGCACCGAAAACAACAACAATTACATATAATAAACGTTTTTTTTTTCCTTTCGCGTTTGTGTGATTTATTTTTATTTTTTGGATACCTCTGTGCCAATGAATGATGGTTTTTGGCTGGTGATGAAGAATAATACGAAAAATATCCAAAAAAGTAAATATGACAATAAAGAAAGGTTTATAATAAAAGAAAACGAAGCAAAATTTGGAATGGTGTTGTCGCTGCATTGCTGATGATGCTGCAGAAGCTGACGTCGACGACGACAGCGGCAGCGACAGCGACAGCAGGCAGCACTTGTGGCAAAGTGAGCAGTGGAAGCAACATAAACGGAAATATCTTCGTCAGTAGTGATTGCTCAATGCAAATTAAAAGTTAATTAGTGTAAAGAAGAATTTGTTAAATTCAAAAACGTAAAGTGAAGAAAGAAAAGCACATATTTAGTACAATCTTACAATGGCATTGAAATAGTGATTAGAAATAGAAAAGAAATCGCGAATCAATTCCATATGTCTTGGTTGAACAGTTATTGGGCTTTTTATATAAAAATTAAACCGACGAACAATTATTTCGATATTAAAAAACTATTCGGTGGCCAGTTGAGAAAAAACTGCCCAAGTTGAGGCAAGGTTACAGCACAAAATTGGCACAGGATATTAAACGAAATGAACCAAACGGCAATGGCGGTAAAAAAGAAATTATTCGCCGAACGTAATAACCGTGAAATGGTTAGCCGAAAAATCGATTGAAATACTCATATTAGTGACCCTGAAAAAGGAACATACACACATTTGCGATATACAAAAGGCAATATTCCAACCATCACAGTGCAACTACAAATATGGATGGACAAAGAGCGCGCGATATTTTAACCCTTCTACAAGAACGTGTCGTATGTCTCACTGGTGGGAGGGATAGACGTGGTGGGCCCTTACTCTGTTTTCCCGCAACACCTAAACGCGATCGTCTAAAACCGGAAGATTTGCGGCGTTTGTTGAGCTACTTGATTATGATACCAAGGTATGTTTTAGTTATACATATTCATTACTGACTATAACATATATGTATTTTGTATTGCATACAAAGATTTCATTCTGTACTCGTTTACGATATAATAGAGGAATTCTCGAAATCTTGCAAAGCCCTTGCACCGAGCACGTTCCCACGAGTTTCGGGTCTGCGTAACCGGAACGACCCAGATTTATATCTGCCCAAGGACTATAACTACAGCAACAATCCCCAAAAACGCTTTGGGGAATTTGTATGCTGTTATAACAGCAACAACAACACGGTAAAAAAA